GCTCCCGCATAGCTTCCGAAATAGAGCGAGGAACCAGCGTATCTGATAAGGCCATAGTATAAGCTCGAAATGTGGGAGACAGATCACCATAAGAAACATAAGCAGAGATCGGATATAAAATCTTGGCGGTCCAACCATATCGATTAACTGGACGGTGATCACGCCGTGGATAACGACGCCCTAAAGCACCATCCTCTACTGATAATATCTTATCAGGTAAAGTAACTGGCTCAGCACCTGTAATCTCATCAGTACTAACAACAGGTGCATCAATATGCTCAACAAACTGAGAAGTATTACCTGCATCGCCTGAGGTAGAGGGGATATCAGCAGGGTGATGAGAGCGAGGACAACGAGCATACACCTGCAAAGGAAGAGAGACTGGTAACTCTGTACTGACAGGGATGAGTGACTCCTTGGGAGGAAAAACGGATGACCCTGTAGGGATAGTGATCAATGACTCTGACTCTTGTGGTAATGGAAAATCAAAGGGAGTATCATCAACTGGAGGGGCAGACAAAGGACTGAAAGGAAAATAAGGAATATGCTCAAGAAAGGTAACATCTAGACTGTGATACATACGACGCCTAATAGGATCATAACATCGATACCCCTTAGATTGATGACAATAGCCCACAAAGATACAACGAATCGCTTTATCATCAAGTTTATGACGAGTAGGAGACCGATCCTGAACAAAACATGTGCATCCAAAAACACGAGGGGGGACCGAAAAAAGTGTCCGCTCAGGAAATAAGACCTGTAAGGGAGCCTTATGCTGAAGAACACGACTCGGCGTACGATTGCACAGAAAGGTAGAAGTCAAAACAGCAAAATGCCAATAAGATTTTGGTACCCTCATGCCTCTAAGCAGACAACGTACCATCCCTATCAAACTCCTATTTTTCCTCTCAGCAACACCATTTTGCTCAGGAGTATATGGACAAGTGAGTTGCTGAAGGATACCCTGAGAAGAAAGGTGAGACACTAAAGCATCAGACACATATTCTTTGGCATTATCCGAACGAAGAGCACGAACAATGACATCGAATTGTGTCTTAATCATCTGTAAAAACTGAGTGATTATAGGGAGCACATCAGACTTCCTATGCAAAAGGTAGACCCAAGTACAACGGGTATGATCATCTATAAATGTCACATAATATCTGGCACCTGACAGAGCAGTAACGGGAGAGGGTCCCCAAATATCAGAGTGTATTAGGTCAAATGGCTTGGGTGACTGGTGCATGCGAGGAATATAATTGGCCCTAACATGTTTTGATAGGGAACAGATAACGCAATCAAGTTTACCACCAACACAAGCATTACTCAAAGCAGGAAACAACATACATAAATATTTAAAATTTGTATGTCCAAAACGGTCATGCCACAATTGAACAGTTTGTGACGAAAAATCATAACGACAACTACTAGGTAAAATACTAGCATGCAAGCTAGGAACAGAAAAAGACAAAGCAGGTGCAGGTGAAGGAATTGGTGAAACTGGAGATGGATTGCCAAGATAATACAGTCCATCTTTCTCATGTCCCTTGATAATAATCCTCCTGGTACTCAGGTCCTGCAAATAACACGAATCAGATAAGAATACAACCGCACAGTGAAAATCTCTGGCTAACTGATGTACAGATAATAGATTCATGGCCAACTTTGGCGCATGAAAAACCGAATGTAATGTAAGGCCATCTGGGAGACGGACTGTACCCCTACTAACAATAGGGGCATGTGTTCCATCTGCTAACTGAACCTGTGTATGTAACGGCTCGTCAAAAGTGGTGAAGTGATGGGCCTCACCTGTCATGTGACCATTCGCACCCGAGTCCAACATCCAAAGGGGAGATGAACTGGCACAAGCGTGAAAGGCACGAGATATACCTGTAGTGGTGACAGCAGCAGTAGTCAGACTCTGAGAAGTCAGAGCAGACATAAGTATATCTAATCGGGAAGTGATAGCATCCATATCACTTTGCCAAGGAGGAGCAGTAGCAGGAGTGGCGGTAGTGGGCGGTGGTACCTCAGCAATAGCAACAGTACGGCTGCGAGAAGGTGGCTTAAGCTCTGGATGGAGCTTCCAGCAAGTAGCCCTGAGATGTCCTGGTCGGCCACAATAATCACATTGACGGGAATCCCCCCGTCTGCGCTGATCTGGGGCGCCCTGACGGCGCTGGTCTGAGCGTTGCCCATCCCTGACTAAGGATCCTGAACGGGACCCTACAGCAGCTGCAAGGGCCATCTGGTCAATCGAAGGAGTCAAAGCTGCAACTGGAAGTGATGCAATACGGACTCGACGCTCATGCTGCTCAATCATCCCATACACCTCATAAAGAGAAGGAAGTGTCAACATCGACAAGATCTGAGAACGAGGTCCCTCAAACTCATCACGAAGCCCCATAAGGAACTTGTGAATCCTATCCTCCTGCTCTCGAGTATGCAAGAATGCTGCTCCCTCGGGCTCTATCTTCGGAATAGCAGCAAGAGGACGTAGAGACTCATACTCAAGCCAGCGCTGGGTCAAATAGCCATAATAATCCTGAACGGTCATATCTCCCTGCCGAGCATATGAGAGCTCCTGAGAAAGCTCATAAACACGAACTCCCCGTCCTGACTGAGAATACATCTCTGATAATGCGCTCCATAGCTTCGGAATAGAGCTATGAAACTGGTGGATCCTGCAAACAGAGGGCTCCATTAAGCCAAATAACCATCCAAGAATGACACAGTTTTTAGAGAACCACGCAGAATATCTAGGGTCGGCATCAGCTGGCTTTGGGTGAGATCCCGTCAGCCAACCAAGCTTCCCTACACGGCCTAAGAAAAGCTGGAATGAGCGTGACCACTCAGCGAAGTTACGACCATTCAACAATTGTGCCGTAACTTTTTGAGAGATCATGCCCGGTAATGCTGGTAATGCAACTGTGCTAGTAGGCACTGTATACTGGTCAAACATAAAAGTGGAAGTACCCATAGATGTCTCAACGGTAGAGGTGTCAACAGTAGGGTTCTCAAGTCCCTCAGTAGTAGTCATATCAACAACAATACTAGGGCACCCGTGACAGAAAAATAACTCTAAGATAAATAGAGGAATAAAATAAAGGAGAACAATATACCTCCAGTCGAACAGTAGCGACAAAAGAAGGTCCAGAAAACTCCCAAATAATCAAGTCACGGTGCCCAAAAATCCAATAAATATAAATGATCTTACTGCATCAAGAGCAGATCAACGGACAAAAAAGAGGATTTAACCCCTCATAAAAAAAAGGGAATCCTAGATACTGTAATTTGGGGCTTGTGTTTTCGCTGGGCAGCAGGTTCGCTGGTATTCAGTCGGTGGTTTCAGTCGGTGGTTTTTTTTTTTTTTGGTGTTGCAGTCGGTGGTGTTGAGTATTTTTGTCGATGGAGAGGGCTATATGGTATATGTTGGATGGTGTATGTGTTATGGGCAGAATGTTGTTCACTGGTTTGATGTGTTTCGGTGCTGCTGGGGTTGCAGTCGGTGTTGCTGTTTTTATTGATTGATGGTTTTAATGGTGTCGATGGGTATTGGTTTGATGGGTATTGATTTGGGGTTTTGTTGCTGGGTAGTGGCGGACTGATATCGGCACTGGGCTGCAACGTGGAGGAGGGGCTGGTGGCTGTCGGTGCTTTGGTGTTGGGTAGTGGCGGATTGATATCGGCACTGGGCTGCAACGTGGAGGATGGGCTGGTGGCTGTCAGTGCTTTGGTGATTGATGATGAGGTTAGGGTTAGGGTATGACTCTGATACCAATTTGGAATGAATGTGTGTGAAAAAGGGATACTCAAATTAAGAGTAGAGCCCCGTATATATATCCAAAAATAATACAGAGTGACTTAAACATCCTTGTAGTTTAGGCAAAATATAAAAATCATAGTAAGGGTAAAAAAGGGAAAAGAAATCCTAATAAACTAGATTATCTATACTCCAACAAGTATTAACACAAGAATTATTACCCTATTTACCTTAGCGGTTCATTAACCTATTTACCACTCGTGAAACTAAATCCAAATAGCCTAATTCAAACAGCAAGACTCCCCAAACCCAAACCCCCACANTTCCTAGATGATTTACTTCAGCATTTTAGTTTTTATTTGGCTCATGTTTTTATGTTGTTACGTTATCTCTCACATTATGTTGTATATTAAGCAACTGATGCCTGACAAAAATTACCAATCTCTGCTGGTTTTTCCACTGCAAGGACTTCGTGTGCCATATGTAAAACCAGGATGCTTCACACGAAATTCTGTGTTTAGGATTTGAGAGTGTCCATACTAATTCACAAACAATATAAAAGTAGTGTTGTGCATTGTAACTTTGTATATTGCAGATTAACAACTACAGGAATTTGGGTCATGATATATTTTACACTACAAACTAGGTTGCCTGTGAGTATCTGGTGGAGATATCTCCTTTGTGGATCACCTTTGGAAGTTAGAACTTTCTTGCAGTCCAAAACTACACTTCTTGGGATGACTAAGATTGTTGAATGTTTTTATAGCACAGACATTTAATGACAGATTTTACCAACCTAGTGTGTTTAGGATTTGAGATATTCCTTGGGATTTTCTCAATTTGAAAGAAATTTGATTAGAGTAGAGTAAAGGTGGAAAACATATTATGTTAAAAATTTGGATGTATGTGTTCATTAAAAAATTGTGGAAAACATTTCACATGTCACAGCCAGTTTAATTAATCAAGGTTTGAATTTGTTTCCAACCCCTTGATTGTTTATTTTAATCTGGCTCACTGCATTTTCCTTTTGCTGGAAATTTATGAATGGTATTTAAATGATCTTGACTAAGTGGTTTATCTTTCTTCCAAAATGAAACAGGAGGCAAATGTATGACCTGTTTCTGGTGTATGCCCTGCGATGTCTATATATTTGACCTTTTGATTTTTGTTCTGTCAAGGGTGACTTACGAAATTTGCAATTATTAACTTATTTATTGAACTAAGAGTCATTCCACCATTGCAGTATTATTGTCAGTGCTTCTGTGGCGGTTGCTTTACCTTATGGCTGTTTCTCGGTGGCATCCATGCTGACATCGCATTCAGATTACTTCTACTTGGGTGGCATGCTTTCTTCTTATGCCTTAATCCCGATTTGGTTGCTTTTTGCTTCTGTTGTCTTTGGTGGCTTAACAGCTACTTGGATTTTTACGGTAACCAATTAGTATATGCTAGAATTTAATTAATTACAAATTCTCTGAAATACTGCTAGCTGAAAGTCTAATTAATTTCCTTTTTCAGTATTAACACAAGAATTATTACCCTATTTACCTTAGCGGTTCATTAACCTATTTACCACTCGTGAAACTAAATCCAAACAGCCTAATTCAAACAGCAAGACTCCCCAAACCCAAACCCCCACAGAAAAGAAAAACATGAAGTTTGCAAAAGAGTGAGTAACATGAGTTTCTATTCCTGACAGCTGTACTTTGTGGCTATGATGTATGTGAGGAGCATACAGGAATACAGCAGGGTGGTGGTTCAGCAGGCTCGCCTTGAGGATTTTGACTATGTGGACGATGTTCTCAGACTTGTTTTCTTTCATCTCCTCATCAGAATTTTCCTTATCTTGGTGAGCAGCTCTGAAGTTCTTTCTTTTCTACTTCATAATATTGTAAAACGAGTGATTTAACTTGGTTGTTCTTTTTATCTGATGCAGATGGTGTTAAAGCCGGGGAAGAAAGCATTTCAGCATTATAAGGGGATCAAGAAGGAATTATAGAGGAGTTGATTTGAATCCCCTCAGTACGTCTCCATAAACATTGTATGCACCTTACATATAATCACTATATCCATTCCTCATCCTCAAAACATTTTTGTAAGTGAAGTTCTTTCTGACTGATACTAAATCTAGGGAGGATATCCCCTTTACAAGAATCCAAAACTTGTTACGAATTTGTGACATGATGTTCATATGCTTTCATAGCAATTCTAACCTGTTACTAATGCTACAGGTTTTTCCTAATTTGTGAAGTTTTACATCTCTCTCTCTCTCTCATATATTCATTGTGTGGAAATATGAATGTTCTGAGTTAGATTCACACCGGGGCACTCTGTTGATTTTTTGTAGAGTCTAGTTTTATGTTGATTCAGATGACGACCCGACCCAAAAAATATTACGTAGTTTTTAATGGGAAAATTTCAGAAGCTTAATCCATGGAGCGAAAATTTTTGGGCCTGTTTGTTTGTAGTCCGGTGCAAGCCATATAAAACTTGTTTGATTAAGTTTGTACGGGCCGCCACACTCTCTGTAATCGTTCTTGAGAATAGTGAAACCTTTGCAGTTTCGTGTACGTAGACAAATTATCGAACCACGTAAATATTATCTTGTGCGTGTGATTATTTTTCTTTAGCGTGTGTTTTCTCTATTATTGTTTCTCTCATGTTTGGAGTTGCGTGAATTTCCTAACACACTATAAATTTATCTTGGTAATTGTTTGATGTGTGTTGGTTGGGCTAACTGTATATGCCCAAGAATGGTAGTCGTCAGGTGTAGTAATAGTCCCCGACACTTCATAATTAGCGAAAAAAAATCAGAGGACTCAGATGTGGAAATGTGGTGGTGGCGGCGTTTTTTAAATTTTGGAAAAGTTATTTTCACAAAATAGTTTTAATTTGTTTTTTAAAATTTAACTAATTTTTCTTCTCAGTTTATACAAAATAACTACTCAAACAGCTTTTCCTTGTGAAATTATTTTTGAAAACTAAAAATAGAAATCAAACAGGGCCATCAATTTCAGATACTTTTTGTTTCCTTGAGTTCCATACAATTAAAAAATTAAAAATTCAGAGGCTTTGTACTCTTAACTCTACTTTTTTGAGCTTTTGATTCATATCAAGGGTTTTTTTTAAAAATTTTTCAACTAAGATTGGTTTGAAAATAATTCTTAAACCTAAAAAGTTTTAAAAACGTCAAATAAACTGACGTATTTAAGTTGAAGACGTCAAATAGATAAATATTTTTATCCCAAAAACGTTAATTTATTTAACGTTTTTATGCCAAGTCTATGCCCAATGAACTCAAGAGACGTCAGATCATTTCATGTCATTGAAATAGGAAATTTAAGAGGCGTCAAACCATTGACGCCATCTACAGATATCCAGCCTCCTCCAACGGACAGCGCTCCACCTACGCCAAGCACCAAATCTAATGATGAATACACAAATAAATTTTAGGTAATTATCGTAGCTGCTCTCTAAATTATCTCTAGAGTGTTAATTTAGTCTTTAAAATTTTAATTTTTTTATTCAATTAAATCATTCCATAATACCGTGATAGATTTTTTACCTTTTTTGTTCTGAGTAAAATGTTAAATATTTATTTAATAAAAAAATTAATTAATAATAAAATTATGATATTTTAAAAATACATAAATTTAACAAATGATATGTAAAATTGTTTTGATGAGTTTTTTGTTATTTATTTAAAAATTTAATTAGATTCAATAAATAAATTTTTATAATTTAAAAATACATAAATTTATGTAGAATCTCTATTTTATTATTAAAAAACTTTCAAGATTACGCCAGAGCAATTGTCCTACTGCCTCTAGTGTAAATCCACCCTAATGAGAACTATTCATCTTGACTTATCCTCAATCTAATTCCCAAAAATTTTCCTTACTCCCGTCCCATTTAAAATTTGCTCATTTTGCAAAATAAAGTCGAGAATTCAATTTTTATCACAATATTATCAAATTATTATAATAATGTTATGTGAACATAATTTATTAATTTAATTTATCATAATTATTGAATTAATTATGAATTTCAATAGATATTGAAATTTATTGTCAATTCAATTATTATAAATAATTAAATCAATAAATTATATGTCCAAAAATTTTGTCTAATTAAGATTACTCAAATTTAAATTTCGTGGGAAAAGCATTTGTCGTGTGATTGCCAGAGCTTCTGATGCTTCACTGCAACAAATTTCCATATCATCCAACGGTGGTGGTGCATGACGCCGAATTCAACGGTTCGGATCTTTCCAAGCTTCCAGCTAAGCAATTTGAGTCCGTTTCATCTCTTTCAAATTCTGTCCCATTCCCGCAAACAACCGAACCTATTCAATTTCTTATTTTCCCAAATTACCCCTAACAAGTTCTATAAACGTCACAAAACCCGCGTTAATCTACCGGTAAATAAACCCAAAGTGAATGCCAGGGGTAGAACTCGACTTTCTCTTTCTAGATAACATGCTATATATACAGCTCGCAAGATTCAGTTGGCCATTCACACTTCTTCTCACACTTGGACTGAAAATTTTTACGTTCTCTCTCTCTCTCTCTCTCTCTCTCTCTCTGTGTCTACTGTTTCTCTCGGAATGTATGCAATGGATGAGGATTGGAACCTTGAATCCCTAACGAATTTTGGGACAATCTCGCGAACTGCTCAGATTCACCTGAGAAAGGTATTGAATAATATTTTTCTCTTTCAAATCCTCTGTTTGATTGCCGATTAAATGAAGAAAAGCGGAAAAGAAAGTGGAGTTGGAACTGGAGAGTATTAGGCTACTGAATTTTCAATTTTAACTTCGTAGTACTTGTGGAAACAAAAAAATTTCTGAATCTGATTTTTCTTTTTCTTTCTCTGATTCTGTTTTTCCTTTAGATCATCCGATTGACTGTCTAGAAAATGAGAAAGAAAGTAGAGAATAATGTGTATTAGACTTCTGAGTAGTTTTAATGGTGTGGAACATTTGAAACGAAATATATATGATAATGTCTTTTTTCTTGCTTACGATTGTCTTCTTGTCCATTCAGTTTAACCTTTAGATTTCCGTCTTGATATTTGTTAGGTTTTATGTAATCCTGACATTTTAATAGTTGTTGGATTACATCTTTTCTTTTTGATGCTTTGTCAGGGATGTTTTCAGGGGATCATATTGTTCGATTTTCTTAAACCTTCATGTTTTGTTTGGGAGGCACAAAAGAAATTTCAGTTTTCCCCCTTCTGTTATGCCATTTTTTCCTTTATTTTTGGGGCTTAATTAGATTGTAGTTTTGGGATGTATTAAGTATTCAGTGTGGTGCGACCTTTTTTGGTCGAAATATAAATATTCATTAAAATAAAGATAGCATGTTTACAAAGTAAATTCATCCTATTCCTACCCTTGCCTCCCTATGGATGATTTCCATCAGCTGTGGTGGAGGGTAGGCTATCCAGTGTGCAGGTATGATTCNTGAATAATATTTTTCTCTTTCAAATCCTCTGTTTGATTGCCGATTAAATGAAGAAAAGCGGAAAAGAAAGTGGAGTTGGAACTGGAGAGTATTAGGCTCCTGAATTTTCAATTTTAACTTCGTAGTACTTGTGGAAACANTGAATAATATTTTTCTCTTTCAAATCCTCTGTTTGATTGCCGATTAAATGAAGAAAAACGGAAAAGAAAGTGGAGTTGGAACTGGAGAGTATTAGGCTACTGAATTTTCAATTTTAACTTCGTAGTACTTGTGGAAACAAAAAAATTTCTGAATCTGATTTTTCTTTTTCTTTCTCTGATTCTGTTTTTCCTTTAGATCATCCGATTGACTGTCTAGAAAATGAGAAAGAAAGTAGAGAATAATGTGTATTAGACTTCTGAGTAGTTTTAATGGTGTGGAACATTTGAAACGAAATATATATGATAATGTCTTTTTTCTTGCTTACGATTGTCTTCTTGTCCATTCAGTTTAACCTTTAGATTTCCGTCTTGATATTTGTTAGGTTTTATGTAATCCTGACATTTTAATAGTTGTTGGATTACATCTTTTCTTTTTGATGCTTTTTCAGGGATGTTTTCAGGGGATCATATTGTTCGATTTTCTTAAACCTTCATGTTTTGTTTGGGAGGCACAAAAGAAATTTCAGTTTTCCCCCTTCTGTTATGCCATTTTTTCCTTTATTTTTGGGGCTTAATTAGATTGTAGTTTTGGGATGTATTAAGTATTCAGTGTGGTGCGACCTTTTTTGGTCGAAATATAAATATTCATTAAAATAAAGATAGCATGTTTACAAAGTAAATTCATCCTATTCCTACTCTTGCCTCCCTATGGATGATTTCCATCAGTTGTGGTGGAGGGTAGGCTATCCAGTGTGCAGGTATGATTTCTTAACTGGTTTGGGGTTGCTGTGTTGCACCCTTCTTTGCATAGCTGTATTTGATAGCAGCTATGCAAACGATTGTGGTGCGAACTTCAATCCTTTGTTCTCGAAATCTACGTCTTGATTTGGTTCTTTCATATAGTGCAATCTTGTAATGGTAAAATGTTGATGTTTTTCTAAGTATTCTTTAGCTAGGTGTCAGTTATAGTTTTTGGCTGGTTTATTTCATAGACCAGATGTTTGATTTGCTTGTTTGTCATAATATAAACGATTGTATCTTGGTATATATGGGCTGTAAANATTTATTTTGCAAGTTGTTTTCAACCTTAAAATACACCAACTAAAAAAATATGAATTTAAATATTTGAAATTGAAAACAAAAACAATCAAATTATTCATCTAAAAATAAATCTTAAAAGAATCACTACTTTCATTCTTTTTTCTTATTTTCACATTAGTGCCGTTCACCTTCGTGTTTTAGCCCATAAGCGTGTTGACTGTAAACTATAGGGGTTAAAGTATTTTGAATCCAAGAAAAAATAAAATAAAATATAGTTCAAAAATTTTAATAATGCCAGCAATTACATAAATAATTAACATGTCATTTTTTTTTTAATCATGGCTTCTAACATATCGTCATATGTAGTAGGTGGGGTGTTTTCTCTGAAATTTAGNCTTGTGTCCACCACTTTCTGTTTAGTACAAAATTGCATTATGGGCAGCCTGGCCCACCATGTGTAAGTATAATGGGTAGCCCCATTAGCCATGTGTGTAGGGCCTGGGCTTATAACTTTATTACCAAATAGCACGATGGGCTGGATGATAGTTCCAATTTGATAGACTGGTCCAACCTTGTCAAAGCCCAAGTAGTCTAGCAGCGCAGACCCTTAAGTAATGCCTGTTTTTCTATTTTACATTTTTCCAAAAACACTTATTATGCTACCAATGGAGTACAAAGAGCAAAACTCACCCACCTTCACCACATCAAAAGGAAAAGGTAGAAGAAGAATCCATAGAAAAGTTTAATATAATTAGTTGTGTTGAGTAAATATTTGTATTCCTGGCAGCTGTACGTTTTGGCCTTGATGTATTTGGTGGGCATAGTCGGGTATAGCCAGGTGGTGGTACAGCAGGCTAGCCGTGGGGATGCTGACTATGTGCAACATGTTGTCAAGCTTGTTCTCTATTTTGCTCGTCTGCTAATCCAACTTGTCCTTGTATTGGTGAGCACCGCTGAAGTTTTTTGCTTTCTACTTCTTCACCTTGTGAGTTGTGGGAAAGGAGTGATTTAGCGTGGTTGCTCTTTTTGTCGATGCAGGTGGTAGCTGTTCCTTTGTTTGTGCAGGAGAATAAAGCACCAGACTATGTTCATGAGGGGGAGAAGGAAAAAGAGGAGTTGAATTGAATCCCCTCAGTACGTCTCTAGCTAATAAGCATTGCATGCACACTAGACATAATCACTATAGCCATTTCTCATCCTCAAACATTTTTTTCTATTAACGTCTGACTGATACTAAATCTGGGGAGGACCCCCTTTACAAGAATTCAAAACTTGTTACAAAATACTGATATGATGTACATATGCTTGCATAGCAATGCCATTTTGTTGCTTGAATGCTACCTGGTTTTTCCTTTTTTGAAAAGTTTTACAAGTCTCTCTCTCTCTCTCTCCCTCCCTCTCTCTCATGGTTCAAAATCTTGGTATCGGGCGATATGATATAAAAGTGAAGGTTAAACTTGATGAGAGATTCAGCTCATATCGTGGTGTCACAAAACCATATTGGTTGATTTAGTAATGATAACTCGGCGATCTAAGATTAATTCGAACACGGCCGAGATTCAAAATTTATACATAATCTATAACAATATCGACTTGAAAGTTGTCGAGTTGGCCAACTTGTATCGATACTTTGAATACTGTGCTCTCTCATAGATGCATGTGTGGAAGTTTGAATATCCTAAGTTAGATTTTCCTACATGGCAATATAGCTATTTGCCTTGGTAATTGTTTGGTGAATGTAATTCAGGCAAATTGTATATGCCCAAGCAGTCAGGTGTTCTAATATGCTTACTCCTGCTGTGGAATGTCTGCATACATATCACATAGACTCTACTGGTCAGAATTCTGATTTTATATCTGCAAATTTAATTGTTTAGTCACTTTTAAGTAACTTTTCTAAGAGGGAAAGTTAATTAATTTTTTTTTTAAAAATGTCATATCAAATAAAAAGAATAAGACAGAACAACGTAACTTTTTTTAAAAAAAATCAGCATTGTACCAAATATTATTATTTTAAGAAAAAAATATGATTTATTCAGATAATTCGTGAGTGATCATGAAATATTATAAGCGATCATTATTTTCTCAAATTTTTGGTATTTTTTTTTCTTTTGTAAGTTATGACTTGACGTTTAATAGTTGTAATTTTTATTATCGTCATAATATTATAGGATCGATCAGGGTTTTTTATAGAATGGTTATTTTTTTTGTGTAAACATTAGTATCGTTAACCTTGGTGTATTTTGGACAGGGTCGGCTCCACCCTTGGGAAAATGAGGCGGTCATCTAGGATCCCATCACACATGTCTCTTAAATTAATATGATTAAATTTTTAAAAAATAGAAAAAATTTATGATGTTATGTCAAACAATAACTCTAGCCCATTTATTCAGTTTAATTTTCTTGAATTATAATTGTTGAAATAATTTTGATCTTATTGTAATCATCACGTAATGAATTTATTTTGCAAGTTGTTTTCAACCTTAAAATACACCAACTAAAAAAATATGAATTTAAATATTTGAAATTGAAAACAAAAACAATCAAATTATTCATCTAAAAATAAATCTTAAAAGAATCACTACTTTCATTCTTTTTTCTTATTTTCACATTAGTGCCGTTCACCTTCGTGTTTTAGCCCATAAGCGTGTTGACTGTAAACTATAGGGGTTAAAGTATTTTGAATCCAAGAAAAAATAAAATAAAATATAGTTCAAAATTTTTAATAATGCCAGCAATTACATAAATAATTAACATGTCATTTTTTTTTTAATCATGGCTTCTAACATATCGTCATATGTAGTAGGTGGGGTGTTTTCTCTGAAATTTAGACAAAAATGACAAAATTTTCATCTAAAGATAATTTAAGGCAGAATCAACAATTTTCGCCTAGGCCTCTAACATTTCTTTTTTGAACAAGTTTTTTTTGGGGTCATGATTGGATCAACCATTCGGGTCCCTGAATTGGAAGCCTTAACACATTCATAGCAGATATGAAAATTACACGGTTGACATTCTAAGAAATTCTTGGTTATACTCCCTTTGCTGCAGATGTTGCATTGGTTGCGAGTCTTCAGAGCGTTCCACGTATGTGAGTGTTGAAGAACTCTCAAGGTACCCTCATGCTTCATATTTGAAAACTCTTTTGCTTGAGGAAGGCATGCAATATGGAAAGATTGATCGCACTCAAATGAAACATTACACCCACTGAAACAGTTAAGGCTGAGTCCATTGAATGGTTTGTCACATGCCCTACACCGGGAGAAACCGAAAACATCAAGCTGGTTGGACTGGAAGAGCGTGTGATCGTGTTCGCATTCAACTTTCAATTTCACCTGTTGGGGTATCTCTGCACAGCATTTGTGGAGAGAGAAACTACATTCAGCACAGTTATAATATGGAGCTGAAATGGGCTGCATACAGACTTTACATAGCATTATGTTATCACTCTCTGCCTCGTTATTCAGCTCTTTGCAAAGCTGCAGTAGATGGCTGTGGCCAAAATGTTGGAGGGTTTTTCTTGTAGTAGTTATGGTCTTCTTGTTTCCTAAACTTATTTCCTTGACAAAATGACTTATCACATCTAAGTGGTTATCTATTGGGAAAGGCATTAGGTAGTAATCTCTTTTGGGAGTCATAGCTACTAATTTGGAAGGGCAGTCCGTCACCACAACATTATCAAAGTTAAGTAACAAACCGTTTTGCTCTCATAAATCGTACCCTACTTGATACTATATAAAAGTTAAAAACGATTTTAAATGGGTATGACTTACCACTAGACCACGAGCTTGGGTGGTTCCATTGGTATACATGAACAAGTCATTTTTAGTGGANACTAATTGAGAGTTTAGTGGTCTACTTACCATGACTAACGTTAGTGGATCATTATTCCATGTTTGTCATGTCATTAGCGGCCAGGTACAACAATTTAAAAATGTGAAAATTGGGGTTAAAGCCATTTTTAAAGGACTTATAATGAGTTTAGTCAATCAAGGGAAATAAGTTCGTTTTTAATCTTATTCATAAGTAGTTAAATCCATTATTTTTTTAAAACTTTTAAATAATCTTCCTTGAGAGTAACGTTAAATTAGTTTTGTGTAATCTCTTAATTCATTATTAATGAAGATATGCCAATAAAATTTTTTTACATAAATTTGAAATTTAAATTCAAAAAACAACTGATACTCTTTCTCTCTCTTTATATATATAAAAAAAATTTTATCATGTTACTATTTTTGTTAAGCATATTACTATCGTTGTTTTTTCAAATATTAGTACTCAAGGTTATTATTTTTTTATAATNAACTGGATATAACCTCCAACTTTAAACTGGATAATTTTATTGTCAAGTTATTCAATTGACCAGAAAATACATATTTCGTTATATGTAGATCAATTAGAGGTAACTCGTACTCGAATATACGGTACAATGTAAATAATTTTGAAAGAAATTGTTGGTGGCCGTTAAACGAATTTATTTGAGATCGTCAGATGCACTTGNTACTATCGTTGTTTTTTCAAATATTAGTACTCAAGGTTATTATTTTTTTATAATGGTTATCAAAGTGGTGTACCTTGGTGACGAATTTTCTTGGAAAAGAAAAAAAAGCATACAATGGTTTATCAAAGTGGTGGGTCACGGTGGATCCAAGATCGGGTACGAGAGATTCGAAGATTTACTAGTGAGACCCACCACTTTTAGTTGGGTGGTGCCATATGCATGAACAAGTCATTTTTAGTGGATTTTTTTTTGTAATGATTAAGAGTATACAGGTCAACTTTTGATTAATTTTTTCTCCGATAAAAACAAAGACTTATTTTTCCTTTGATTAACCCTTGCCTTAGATTGGTTCCCGAGGAATTGTATTTTCTTTGCTCTACAAGAGAAATCTGAGTTTCTTTATTGAATTATTTTATATGAAATCAAGTTTTTTATTTAAGTTTTTAGTCAGATGTGAGTAAAATTTAATTCTGAAAATGGGTAGATCGTTGAAAATTGACCTTTTTGAATCCATGCTAAAAAGTGGGCGACCTATCGTTCCTGATGTTAATGGGCAACAAGCAGTCTGTCTTTCCTGGTATCATGTCGACGTGCACTTTTAAGAGAAATTGGGGGAAGCAAGTGCATATAAATCCAGCAAGGGGACTGAATTTCTTCTTCACCTATATGAGTGGTCACAGTTGGGAATTTTCTTTTCCTTTTTCTTTCTCCTCATTAAATTCTGTGGAAAAAGAGGAATTCAGAATCTTAAAACTTAAATCCAAGCACAGGTACAACCTCTAATATAGTTTAATTGTTGCAAGTTCTTGAATGATTCATATCCATGTTTTATATTAGTTCCTGAGCACTTGTAATTTATTTGCTATGCAGGAGGTGAAGTGCAAAAGCCATATCCTTCATATGAACTGCAGGAGCAATAAGTTTTCTTCAACTCGAATGGGGTTTACATGCTTAAGGTTAAGCATAGAATGGTCATTTTTCTATTATGTTATGGTTGTATGTTGCTTCAGCTTTCTGCAGCCAAGGTTTCCTACCATAGTAGCTGCATCCAGGATGCGAGGGAACGATACAGATCGACTTGCTTTGCTTGCATTCAAGGCAAACATAATTGATGATCCCTTCGAGGTTCTGAGCTCATGGAATGGATCAGCCATCTTTTGCAAATGGCATGGTGTTACATGTGGTCGACGCCACCAAAGGGTCACCAAGTTGGACCTTCGTTCCCAAAAATTATTTGGGACCATACCGCCACACATTGGGAATCTAAGCTTCCTTAGGGAACTGGAATTCCAAAACAACAGTCTTGTTCATGAAATCCCTTCCGAACTTGGACGTTTGCCAAGGCTGAAAATTTTAGCCCTAAATAATAATTCATTTAGTGGCAATATTCCTGCCAACTTATCTAGTTGCTCTAGCCTTATTTCCTTCAATTTTGGTTTCAACAAGCTGATAGGGCCAGTTCCTGTAGAGCTAGGCTCATTGTCAAAGCTCACAAAAATTATAATCCAACACAATGATCTAACCGGAGATATTCCTCATTCTTTTGCAAACTTAACATCTCTTTAACATTCTAGGTGCAACCGAAAATGGTTTTAGTGGAAGTATCCCCGATTCTCTTGGTCATCTGGGCAACTTGACAGTGATTGCATTAGGCGGAAATAGATTGTCTGGTGTTATCCCTCCGTCAATCTTCAATCTCTCTTCCCTCACAGGTTTTGATGTGATCCATAATGAGCACTTGCATGGCAGCTTTCCCTTTGATATAGGCATCACCCTTCCTAATCTTCGATTCCTTGGCTTAGGTTCGAACCAATTTACTGGGTCAATCCCTAATTCAATAGCCAATGCCTCAAATCTGGAAGTTTTTACAGTCAGTTTCAACAATTTTAATGGAAAAGTGCCAACAATGGAAAAGCTACATAAGCTTCAGCATCTATCCATCTTCAACTTGTCAACAATGCTCGAAGCATTCGTTCTTAAAGGCAATTATATAGTTGGAAGCATTCCAATTGGGACAGGAAATCTTATAAACTTGAATTTTCTAAGCGTGTCCAACAACCAACTCACTNTTGTAATTCTTTCTTCAATTGTTGATTTTAAAGGTTGTTCCACATTGCTAAAATATCTCTTAAACTAGTATATTAGTCTTGTGGCCAACTTTATTCACATCAACATTTGGTTTTGAGTTAGATGTTTTACAATGGTATCAAAACTAGACTTTCGGAGATACAAACAAATCTCTCTGTGCTAATGTCATTTATTTGATTATTAGTTTTTCATATGTTGATGCATTATATCCATAATTCAGTCTTTTGGCTCTTCTTTCTATATCTTTTAATTCTTGTCATTCATACAAATTGATTTTGAATATGATGATTTAAAAGTTAAGTAATACGGTCATGGGCGGAGCTAGCATATGCCCACCCTCAATTTTTGGTCTATTGGATTTACNTTATCGGTGTACCTAGACCTATCTCAAAACCATTTGAGTGGCTCTCTTCCCTTGGAAGTAGGAAACTTGAAAAATTTAGGTGCACTATTTGTAGAAGACAACATGTTATCCGGAGAAATTCCGAATACACTTGGTAGTTGTGTATTGCTGGAATACCTCTTCATGCAAGGAAACTCCTTCCAAGGGCCTATTCCTTCATCTTTAAGGTTTTTAAAAGGTATTCAAGAACTAGATCTGTCACGCAACAATTTGTGAGGAAAAATTCCAGAATATTTGACAGGTTTTCAGCTGAAGGGACTAAATCTATCTTTCAATGACTTTGATGGTGAGGTACCAATCAAAGGCATCTTCAAAAATGCGAGCGCAACAAAGGTAATGGGAAATAGTAAAGCTTTGTGGGGGTGTACTTGAATTGCAATTGCCTAGATGCAACTTCAAAGGGTCGAAGAAAAATAGGTCACACCTCATTCTAAAACTCCTTATTCCATTATCTTGTGGGCTTCTAGGAGTAATTTTGGTGCTGTGTTTTTTATACCTTTACTGGTCTAGGAAGTCAAGACAAGCGACATCGTCAAGTTTGCTAGAAAATTCACTCTTGAAAGTGTCTTATCATAGTCTCCTAAAAGCTACTAATGGGTTCTCTTCAGACAATTTAATTGGAGTGGGTAGTTTTAGCTCTGTGTATAAAGGAGTTGTTGATCAGGATGGAACTATTATTGCTGTAAAGGTGCTTAACCTTTTGCGTCCAGGGGCTTCCAAGAGTTTTCTTGTAGAGTGTGAGGCCTTGAGAAATATCAGGCATCGTAAAGGTGGTCACTGCATGTTCAGGTGTTGATTACCAAGGGAATGATTTCAAGGCACTAGTTTATGAGTACATGGTCAATGGCAACGTAGAGGAGTATTAGCATCCAATTCAAGGGGAAGATGAGGTGAGTGAGGAGCCAAGAAATTTGGGCCTTCTTCAGAGGTTAAATATTGCCATAGATATTGCTTGTGCCTTGGATTATCTTCACAATCATTGCCACACAAGCAACATTCTTCTAAACGACGAGATGACTGCACATGTTGGTGACTTTGATTTAGCACGATTTCTTCTTAACAGTAGCTCTGCACATCAAACAAGTCGTTCTATTGGACTAAGAGGATCCATTGGCTATGCTGCTGCCAGGTAAGTAGACTTTCTTTGCCATATTCGTTTGGCTACTAAAAAATGGCAGTGGCTTTTTTATCAAGAAAAGCACTAGAGTCAATAGAGATTGTAATTCTTTCTTCAATTGTTGATTTTAAAGGTTGTTCCACATTGCTAAAATATCTCTTAAACTAGTATATTAGTCTTGTGGCCAACTTTATTCACATCAACATTTGGTTTTGAGTTAGATGTTTTACAATGGTATCAAAACTAGACTTTCGGAGATACAAACAAATCTCTCTGTGCTAATGTCATTTATTTGATTATTAGTTTTTCATATGTTGATGCATTATATCCATAATTCAATCTTTTGGCTCTTCTTTCTATATCTTTTAATTCTTGTCATTCATACAAATTGATTTTGAATATGATGATTTAAAAGTTAAGTAATATGGTCATGGGCGGAGCTAGCATATGCCCACCCTCAATTTTTGGTCTATTGGATTTATTGTAGTCGTTTGTATATACTAGGATTACCAATTTTTGGTCAATTGGATTTAATGAAATTTTAAGTATTAAATAGGATGTAACTAAATATAAATTTTTATCTTATTTCTATTGATTGTAAGTAAAAAATATTTGTGTCTATCCTAACACGATTTTTTAGTTTCGTCCCTGACTATGGTTACTAGTTTCACTATTATTATATTCTGGTCGAAAGTAGCCAAAAAAAAAAAAAAATTGTTTGAGAGTCATAAGGAAAACATGTACTATTGGTATTCTCAAAATGAACTCTCCAATGCCAAACGGAGCTGCAAGTGCTGGAAGTTGTAGTTTACACGTGTAGTTCTTGAGTAAAAAGTAAATATTCAAGTATACACTTCTGACCAAATCCCATTACATTAGTTTTTATACTAAGATATATATTTTGATTTTAGAGTTTGGCATGGGAAGTGAACCGTCGATACATGGGGAAATGTTGTTGGAAATGTTTATCGGAAAGAGACCCACTGATGGGATGTTTAAAGAGAGTTTAAACCTTCATAACTATGTTAAGATGAATTTGCCTGAAACAGTAGCTAATGCCGCCGATCCGAGACTTCTCCAATATGGAGGAGAGGGAGCGACGAGCATAAACTATCGACATCCGGATCACAGACATGCTAGCAGTTACGAAATTCAGGAGTGCTTGATTTCACTATTTGGAATTGGACTCGCATGTTCACAAGAAACTCCAAGTGAGCGGTTGGACACTAGTGACATTCTAGCCAAGTTGCTTGTGGTAAGGAACAAATTCATGGAGACTGGTGGCATACATGAACAGAGATCTAGAATTGGCATCCAATCTTGAATAGGTATGAACCCGTCACTTTTTTAAGAACTGACTAATATATTTTCGAAAATTTATGATATTGAAAAAATTTAAGGCTTTAAAAATTACGCATGTCATATTTGTACCGAATAAAGTGGAGGTATGATACTCAAAAGTTTCATTTAGGTATCTTAGTTAGACCTCCTTTATAAGGCAAAGTATGATAACACCAGAAGTAGGATTTGCATACACACAAATAGGGTCATTGGAGTGTTGATTTGTGCACAGGTCAAATAGCACATCAATTCTATATAAGTATCCTTTTGGTTTGAAGGCATTATTTATGTGGAACTTATTTATTATATTCTGGTAAACTATTTGGTAGGTATACCAAGATTTTTTTTTTTTTTTTGCAAAATTATGCATTATGATGTCTTGTTTGTATAATAAATGAGGGTGTTACCAGTTACAAGTTAGTTTTAGCCTACACTTCATTCATCTACAGTGACATAATTGTCTCAAGTATAGTTGCACACCTTATTGAAAAGGTGGGATTAATCTTTCTGGGGTAGACTATGACACTTGACTCCTTGAACTCCAGGCCAAAACCTAGTGGGTGAAAGCCAATGAATCTTCGTCAAGTTTAGTTGTGTGTGCTATTCTTTTTTTGGGATNTCTTATTTCTATTGATTGTAAGTAAAAAATATTTGTGTCTATCCTAACACGATTTTTTAGTTTCGTCCCTGACTATGGTTACTAGTTTCACTATTATTATATTCTGGTCGAAAGTAGCCAAAAAAAAAAAAAAATTGTTTGAGAGTCATAAGGAAAACATGTACTATTGGTATTCTCAAAATGAACTCTCCAATGCCAAACGGAGCTGCAAGTGCTGGAAGTTGTAGTTTACACGTGTAGTTCTTGAGTAAAAAGTAAATATTCAAGTATACACTTCTGACCAAATCCCATTACATTAGTTTTTATACTAAGATATATATTTTGATTTTAGAGTTTGGCATGGGAAGTGAACCGTCGATACATGGGGAAATGTTGTTGGAAATGTTTATCGGAAAGAGACCCACTGATGGGATGTTTAAAGAGAGTTTAAACCTTCATAACTATGTTAAGATGAATTTGCCTGAAACAGTAGCTAATGCCGCCGATCCGAGACTTCTCCAATATGGAGGAGAGGGAGCGACGAGCATAAACTATCGACATCCGGATCACAGACATGCTAGCAGTTACGAAATTCAGGAGTGCTTGATTTCACTATTTGGAATTGGACTCGCATGTTCACAAGAAACTCCAAGTGAGCGGTTGGACACTAGTGACATTCTAGCCAAGTTGCTTGTGGTAAGGAACAAATTCATGGAGACTGGTGGCATACATGAACAGAGATCTAGAATTGGCATCCAATCTTGAATAGGTATGAACCCGTCACTTTTTTAAGAACTGACTAATATATTTTCGAAAATTTATGATATTGAAAAAATTTAAGGCTTTAAAAATCACGCATGTCATATTTGTACCGAATAAAGTGGAGGTATGATACTCAAAAGTTTCATTTAGGTATCTTAGTTAGACCTCCTTTATAAGGCAAAGTATGATAACACCAGAAGTAGGATTTGCATACACACAAATAGGGTCATTGGAGTGTTGATTTGTGCACAGGTCAAATAGCACATCAATTCTATATAAGTATCCTTTTGGTTTGAAGGCATTATTTATGTGGAACTTATTTATTATATTCTGGTAAACTATTTGGTAGGTATACCAAGATTTTTTTTTTTTTTTTGCAAAATTATGCATTATGATGTCTTGTTTGTATAATAAATGAGGGTGTTACCAGTTACAAGTTAGTTTTAGCCTACACTTCATTCATCTACAGTGACATAATTGTCTCAAGTATAGTTGCACACCTTATTGAAAAGGTGGGATTAATCTTTCTGGGGTAGACTATGACACTTGACTCCTTGAACTCCAGGCCAAAACCTAGTGGGTGAAAGCCAATGAATCTTCGTCAAGTTTAGTTGTGTGTGCTATTCTTTTTTTGGGATTTTTCATACTTTGCACTCCGAAAGATGTCTCGATTTCCATTTTACCGCCTAAAAAATTATTTTTTTTCACATTGCTCCCTAAATATGACAAACCGATAATAAATATTGTAGTTCTTCCTTGAATTTTATTTACGCTGTCTCACGTCGGTATAATAACATCTTTCGGCCTAGCATATAATTCCCTCAACTCATATTTTTCCNGAGCGGTTGGACACTAGTGACATTCTAGCCAAGTTGCTTGTGGTAAGGAACAAATTCATGGAGACTGGTGGCATACATGAACAGAGATCTAGAATTGGCATCCAATCTTGAATAGGTATGAACCCGTCACTTTTTTAAGAACTGACTAATATATTTTCGAAAATTTATGATATTGAAAAAATTTAAGGCTTTAAAAATCACGCATGTCATATTTGTACTGAATAAAGTGGAGGTATGATACTCAAAAGTTTCATTTAGGTATCTTAGTTAGACCTCCTTTATAAGGCAAAGTATGATAACACCAGAAGTAGGATTTGCATACACACAAATAGGGTCATTGGAGTGTTGATTTGTGCACAGGTCAAATAGCACATCAATTCTATATAAGTATCCTTTTGGTTTGAAGGCATTATTTATGTGGAACTTATTTATTATATTCTGGTAAACTATTTGGTAGGTATACCAAGATTTTTTTTTTTTTTTTGCAAAATTATGCATTATGATGTCTTGTTTGTATAATAAATGAGGGTGTTACCAGTTACAAGTTAGTTTTAGCCTACACTTCATTCATCTACAGTGACATAATTGTCTCAAGTATAGTTGCACACCTTATTGAAAAGGTGGGATTAATCTTTCTGGGGTAGACTATGACACTTGACTCCTTGAACTCCAGGCCAAAACCTAGTGGGTGAAAGCCAATGAATCTTCGTCAAGTTTAGTTGTGTGTGCTATTCTTTTTTTGGGATTTTTCATACTTTGCACTCCGAAAGATGTCTCGATTTCCATTTTACCGCCTAAAAAATTATTTTTTTTCACATTGCTCCCTAAATATGACAAACCGATAATAAATATTGTAGTTCTTCCTTGAATTTTATTTACGCTGTCTCACGTCGGTATAATAACATCTTTCGGCCTAGCATATAATTCCCTCAACTCATATTTTTCCCTCCCCTCCCCATCATTACCATCCGGTTTTAAATTTAATGATTTAGTAGCTGAATACCTGTAAAACAAATTGTACAGATTGTTGTATTTTGAGTAAAAAGTACATAGCTAATTAAGTTTGTCCATTTTTGACAAACTTCTGACCAAATTCCTTTACATTAATTTTTTTAAACTATAGTATTTGGATTTTAGAGTTGGAATGGGAAGTGAGCTGTCGATGCATGGGGATGTGTACAGCTATGGCATTGTATTGTTGGAGATGTTTATAGGAAAGATGTCTACTGATGAGATGTTTGATGACAATTTGAACCTTCATAATTATGTTAGGATGGTTTCGCCGGAAAGAGTAGCAGATGTTGCTGATTCAGGGCTTATTCGACACGACGACGTGGGAGAGATGAGCACAAATCCCCGGCCTTAGGAAGAGAGTCGTGCTACTAGTTCCAAGATTCAGGAGTGCTTGATTTCAATATTTGGAATTGGACTTGCATGTTCAGAAGAAACTCCGAGTGAAAGGTTGAACACCAAAGAAATTGTAACTAAGTTGCTGGTCATCAAGAAGGAATTGATCAGAACTGAGGGGAAACATTGAGGGAGGACAGTATGGCTCGTGTTTGGTCACTGGTTTCCATGGTGTTTTTTGTTTTTGTGTGGCTCGTTGTGTTTTTGGGTTTGCATTGCATGCCATGTTACAGAAGTGATGCATTGTGATCATTGCTCTTTGGCAATCAAATTTTAGTGTTAAATTTTTTATGCATGGGTTATATGGATTAATACAAACACGACACGAAAAATAAATAGGTCGGATCGACATACGACATGATTTATTAAATGGGTTGAGTTTGGATTGACTAATACTCGAACACCATCAACCCAACATGATTGAAACTCTTATTCCTTAACAAACAGGACTACTTTGAGAGCAGAGGATGGATATGTTAGCCGCAATCCATTGATTTGGTATTTAAGCATTCAGATGCATATGCAACTGACTCTAGACCCTACAGACCACTAATTCACAAATTCAATTCAACAACTACATCAAGTGTCAATTTTAATAGGCAACACAAATTCACAAATTCAATTCAACAACTACATCAAGTGTCAATTTTAATAGGCAACACAATTGTAACTCAAATCAAGTTGCCAAAGCAAACATATTCTTAGCATATCGATCAATAGATCACTTGTAAGCTATGAAACACGGATACTTCGTCGAGGTTGGTGTATCCGTATCGAATACCGTATTTGATACGATACTCGTCGGATACTCGATGATACGTATCAGATATACCTCCAACGTATCCGATAATAATTATATATTAGAATACTTAACGAATATTTTTGTGTTAAAGCAACATATATAATTTTTGAGTTGAATTTTTAACATTTCCTTTCGAATTCACATATTATACAATACATTAATAAAAATTTATACTACTTCAAAAACAAATGAGTATTTTTTAAGTATTATTTACAATTATAAGTCAAGAGAGTATAAAATAAATCTATTACATTATAGTTTTAGCAAAAATTACTTTAAAATAAACCTACTCGGATATTAGTTTTGATTCTTTTAATTAAGCACTTCACTTTGTGAATATAACATAGTGATACGATATATATTTTTTTGAAATTAAAAAAGTTTATTAATTTTTCTTATTGTGTTAAAGAACTACCAAAATATATAAATATTAAGTTGGTCGAAAATAATAAAAATATTAAATATATTTTATTACAGCCGTATTTTGACTGTACCCGTATCCTATTTTTTTATATTTTATCGTATCACCGTATCCGTATTGTATCGTACAAATATCTCATATTCGTATCCGTGCTTCATAGCTTGTAAGTAGTTATATCCAAGTTCATATAATTAATAATCCATCTGAAAAGTACCAAAAAATAATAAACATACCGCAAATCAAGTAAATTGAACATATCAATCAATCTACAGATCTATTCAAAAGTGCATAAGATTATATCAATAGTGAGTCGTCCACGACCGAGTCCTTGTCTGACTCGGACTCACCAAAGTTTGAGACTGAAACGAGCCGTTGGGACGAAAGGCGAGGATTGTAGCCTAAAGACTTCAATGAGTATGGATGGGTTTTTTCGGTCATGCAAGGTTACACAGGAGAGAGAAGAAATGACAAATTTTGAACCTATGATTTTAAGGTCTAATATCAAAAATAGTGGCTTAGCCAACCGCTAACATCAGGTATGTTGAAAACTTAAGCTTCGTTATGAATTTATAGAAATTCTATATTTGTCAATCATTTAATGAAAACTCACCTACTCAAAAGTGCATAAGATAATATCAATAGTGAGTTATCCACGATTGAGTCCTTGACTGACCCGGAGTCACCAAAGTTTGAGACTAAACTTTGAGATTGATTTGAGTCGTTGGGACGAAAGGCGAGGATCATAGCCTACAGACTTCTTAACATCAATGGTTATGGACGTGTTTTTTTAGTCATGCAAAAATACAGGGAGTAGAGAGACGAAAAAATTTGAACTTATGATCTTAAAGTTTAATATAAAAAACAGTGATTATTAAATCAACCGCTAACATCAAGTACAAACATATAGACGACCTAATCACCCCCCCCCTAAGGTCATACGTGGACGACCTGAAACCCTTCGCCATAGGTTGGATGTGTAACTAGAGGTCGGGATTCAAACTTTGTTATTGAACCTTATCACAAACAAGACATAGAGATATCCTTTTAGTTATTTCTGATATTATTTTTGGTATCTTCAATCATATTTGTAGCTCACTTTAGGCAATGGAGATTTTAGTTTAAACTATTCTAGACTTGATGTGGTTAATATATGCCTCCATTTGTCGTCTGATTTCACCTAGTAACTTTTTTGAGGTAATACCTTGAAACCATACACACAAGAGGGCGTGTTTGGTTCGCCTAAATCAAGAGATGAAACTAGGCAATTGAAATCAATTCAATCTATGTCAGTTAGAGTAATTGATCCACTACTTTGTCATAATATCAATTCTATGTTTGGATCAGAGATTAATAAATAGTATCAATTTGAAAAAGACGAAAGTACCCTACATGAATGCAAGGCTCTATGACCCTATTTGGGGTACTCTCGTCATTTTGGATGTCATTTACACATAATTTTTACATCCTCTTTAAATGTAGTCTGGCGAGAGACTTCCAAACTTTCAATTCTAACTTTCTAAAATTTAGAATTTTTATAAGAGTTAATTAATACTTATGGTCCTTAAAACATACTCGTTTTTATCACTTTGGTTCTCATTTTATAAATTTTATTAATGTGTTCCTTAAAATATTTTAATTCGTATGTCAGGTCCACCAACTCCACCCAAAAAATATTAAAAAATCAAACTCACATAAAACAAAAAAAAAAAAAAAACTTTGGACCCATATTGTTGGAGTCTGAGTATTATACAAAAAATTAAAACTTAATCATGTTAAGTTGTGACTCAAATAGATCAAGTTGTAACTCAATAGAATTGACTTAGGATTGATCCCCAAAACTTGGGATGAATTCCAAATTGTTGAAATTATTGACTATAGTCTTTGCTATGTGTCAATCGATTTTAAATTTTTTTACTATGTTTAGCTCTTAAATTTTAGTTTAATAATTTTACTATGTTAATATATCAGTGTATTTGGAACATCATTTATTGAATAAATCTAATGGATTGTTAGTGAATAATTGATATTTTTTTATTCAAAAATAATAATTAGCTCCATTTTTTACAATAGTGATAATTAGCCATTTTTTGTACATATAAAATATGCATTATTTTTTGGCATTTTTTATGTTAAATGGAATTCATGTATCAAATGTGATATAATAATTATAAATTTGTTATATAGTTTGATTAGTTAGGGAAAAAATTAAAGTGCGTAATTAAAGTGTCGATCCTGAACAAAATTTCTGACTCTGCCCTTATCACTATAGTCAATTTTACTTCCTAACAAACATTTTTTTTTCCAGAGGTTTACAAGAATTCATTGCTTGTTACCAAATTTTGACATGGTGTACATGCTTGCATAGCAATCTTGCTCTTGAATGCCAAAAAAAATTTTCCTTTCTCTTGAAATTTTTTACAAATCTCTCTCTCTCTCTCTCTCTCTCTCTCTCTCTCTCATGTGGAAGCATGGATGTCCGACGTTAGATTCTCCTCAATGACACCCCTAGAAATTTATCTTGGTAATTGTATTGGTGCATATAGGTCAGGCTTTGTATATGTTGGCTAGTTGTATATGCCCAAGAAGCTCAACGGCATGTTGTAGTAGTCCCGAACATTTCCTAGTTAGGAACAAAATAAGAGCATTAAGGTGTGGAACATATTGGTATACCTTTCTTGAGCTATCGTAGATCAGTTTAATTAGTTTATATTGATTTTTAGTCTTTTACCACTCTTAAACAGATGTCACAATTAAAATTGTGGAACAGATTAGGCAGAGATTTTCAATCTTTAATAGCTTCCTAGAACTACCATTTCCCAACTTCTCATCTTCATCCTGCTGGAATAATCTTTTGGACTCTAAGCTACTTTAGGCCCTGCCAAACATTAGAAGAAGGATTCAACAATTAGTGCTTATTTATTTAAATTTTCTAAATTCTTTATTTTTTATTTAAAAAAAAACAACTTTTTTGTTGCAATAATCTTTTTTTTTTTACTATAGGGTGTTAGTCAAATTCTTAACCTATATATGGATATAGATAGATATGAGAGATAAAATATTTTAATGTTAGTCAAACTCCTTAGATTTATGAGTTTTTAATTTTTAGTTTTATTTCACTTTTAAAGGAAAGGGATAGTATCGTAAAATTGACAAAAAACGGACTTCATAACAAATAAGTTTCTTTGACAAATTTAAGTTCAAACAAAATCTATATAAGAGGACCGGCCTACAAATTTTCCCTAAAAAAAATCCACATTTTAGAAAATAATTATTGGGGCCCCACAATGTCTCTGGACTAGATCAAGTTGGTGAATGTGGCCCAAATGTGTAATAGGTCCAATAGCACGCCCCATTGAGAATTGCGCCCCTTACAAGCCCAAAACTTATTGTTGACTTCTCACTGGGTTCCTATCACCATTAGAGGATGTTAATTCGTTATTTCATCTCCATTGTGGACAATAGCAGCCACGGTTTTGGTAGTAATCACCGCACCGGCAGGCGGCCACCCTTCACAGCCTTCTTGCTAAACTTCTCCGGGCAGTCCACCCGTTTGGCTCTCGGATTGTCGTCGAGTTTGGCGTTGTGATTGCATTTATGGACAATTTTGCTCTGAGACGAGTGATATAGATATGAATATGGAATATAAGTACGATAAAATACGACTATATTGATATGATAAAACTTGAAAAAATAAGATACGAATATGATTAGGATACTTTTATAATAAAATATTTTTATATTTTACTATTGTTTAACGACTTAAAAATTATAATTTTGAATAATTGTATAGTAATAGTAAGTAAAATTAACAATTTTTACCTTAAAAAATATGAAATATTATTTCATTAAGATATATTTAAAAAGTGAACGTGATCAATTAAAAGAATTAGAACCAATGATTAGCTAGTTGTTTTGTTTATAAGTATTTATTTTTAAGATTATGATATAACTAACTCATTTTATATACTCTTTTTGCATGTAATAGGAGACAATATTAAAGAAACATTAGTCTTCAAAATTAAAATTAAAAATTATATATCTTCCTTCATGTGTAAAAATATTCACAAAATATTTATATATTTTATTAATTATTACTATTAGATACGTATAATACATATTTTCGAATACTGTATCCAATCCTCTGATCAATGTGAAAACCCCGAACAAAATTGCACCTTGAGTTGCCAAATTTACATCACAGGAGTCGGACAGTTACACATCCAACCGTGGTGGTACAATTCTCTGAATTCAACGGTTGAGATCTTTCCAACCTTCCAGCTAAGCAATCTCAGTCGGTTTCAGCTCTTCCATTCCCGCGAACAACCGACCTGTTCAATTTCTTTATGTTCCTAAATTACCCCTCCAAAATACCATAAACTCCATAAAATCCACGTTAACCATCCCCGTAAATAAAACCGAATGTGAACGGCAGGGGTAAAACTAACTTCGACTTTCTCTCTGTAGAATAACAGACTATATATACAGCTTGCATGATTCAGCTGGCCATTCACATTTCTTCTCACAATCGGACTGAAAACTTTTACGTTGCTTCTCTCTCTCTCGCTCAACAGAATTCAGTTCTCGGAATACAATGGATGATGATTGGGACTTTGACATCCTAATAAACTGCACGACAATTCCGGCAGTTGCTCAGATTCACCTGAGAAAGGTATTGAGTTCTCTTTTTCTCTCCCAAATTCTCTGTTTGACTCCCGAGAAAATGCAGGAAAACAGAAAAGAAAGTTGAGTTATAGAGTACTAAACTTCTGAATTTACAATTTTAATTTTGCGGCACTTACGTTACGTTTTTTTTTTTTTTTTTTGTCCTTGAGATTTTCTGTTTGGATGTCTAGAAAATATTGTACGAAATTGTTCAAGAAAGTAGAATAATGTGTAGTAAACTTCTGATACCTACTATCAGACAGGCGCATTTCTTATGCACAAGAAAGTAGAATAAGGTAGTAACCTTTTGACTTCCCTCTTGATATTTGATAGTTTTTACATCATCATGAGATTTCATAGTTATTGGATTAAATCCTTTGTTTTTGATGCTTCGACATGGTTGTTTCCAGAGGATTATGTGTTTGATCTTCTCAAACTCGCTTGATTTGTTTGGGAGGCACACAAGGAGTTTCAATCCTCCACTTTTTTTTTTTTTTTCCTGTGGTTCTTGGAAAGTGTTTTTCTATTGGTTTACTATGCATGACAATGTGCCAATTTGATTATGTTACACCATTCTTCTCATCATTTTTGGGGCTTAATTAGATTGTATTTTTGGTATGAATTATTATTTCTTGTTCTCGAATTATGCTTTTTGATTCGATTCTTAGATATAGTGTTTGGGTAGTGATAAATTGCTGGTGTTATAGTTTTTTGGCTGGGTTTTTTGACAGACCTAATGATTGATTTGCTTGTTTGTTTTAATTGAACCAAAGTTTTGCAAGATAAATAATCCTTCTTTTTGGGGGCTGTTGCAACAGGTTTACCTCTCATTGTTTTGTATTCTCGTGACTGCGGCTTTTGGAGCCTATTGCTATCAACTTTGGAACATTGGGGGCTTAGTAACAAGACTTGCATTTGTCGTGGCCTTAGCATGTTTCCTCTTAACAAAAACATGGACAAGGGTATTCCACAACTCGTTTCTGTTTGTTACTTTTCGTGGTAGTTTTTATTTTGATACAACTATCTAATCTTGCTAGCTTGAATTTACTATATCTTCACATAAGCAGTGGAAAAGGGTTGCTGTCTTGATTGTTGCTGCTTTTTGTGGAGGGGCTTCGGTTGGTCGGTTGATTAACTTGATGGTGATGACTGATACAAGGTAAACCTACTACTGAATATTTATTTGGTTTGTTGTCATATTTCTGTTATTATTTTTTTAGGTAATTCATTTCTCTATTATTGTCTTTTATATTAAGCACTTGATGCCTGACAAAACTCACCATTCTCTGCTAGTGTTCCCAGACATCGTGCATCCATAGTTCAAACAATAAGGCTTAGCAAGAAAGTCTACCTTGTAGTGTACTAATTCAGGAACAATATTAAGGTAGTGTTGTGTGTTTGTCTAACACTAATTAACAAATACATTAGATGTTCAGGGTTTATTTTCCATTACCAAACCAGATTGCCAGGGGATATCTGGTTGAGAGTGAGTGTATCTTCTTTTTAAATGACCTTTGGAACTTTCTTGCAATATAATACTTCTGATCCACTGTTACTATTACGCTTCTTGGGACTAAATTGTTGATTGACACATTTAATATCCTATTTTACAAAGCTGGTGTGTTTAAGATTCTGACTTTCCTTTATAATTTTCTCAATTCGGAGGAAATTTAGTTAGTGTAAAGGTGGAACATGTTCGACCACTAGTTTAATTAATTGATATTTTGATTTGTTTGCACCCTTTTGCTCATTGTCTATTTGATATGGCTAATTGCCTTTACCTTTTACAAAAAATTGATTTTGGCCATTCTTTCATTGAAAGACCTTGACAAAGTGGTTTATCTATCTTCTAAAATGAAAAGGGTGGCAAATGTATGACCTATTTTTTGTATATGCGTCCCTATGTTTAAATATTTCTTTGTTGTGATTTTTGGTTTTGTCAGACATTATTTATGAAATTTGAAGCTATGAATTTTGTAAAGGATCTAAGAGTTCTTCCTCTGGTTCAGTATTATTGTCAGTACTCTTGTGGCGACTGCGGTGGTGTATGGTTGTTTCTCAGTAGCAGTCATGTTGACACTTCGTAGGGATTACATCTACATGGGTAGTCTGATTTTCTCTAACATCTTAATCCGGAATTGGTTGCACTATGCTTCCATTGTCTTTGGTGGCTATACAGCTTTTTGGGAGATTAAGGTACACCAACTAACATATGATAGAATTATCTAAGCTGAAGTGATGCTGGCTAAACCTCCAATTCAGTTCTTTTTTCAGTATTTAACACATGAAGATTCTATATAAAGATGTGGTGGAACTTGTGTGCCTCACTTTCTGTTTAGTACAAACTACACTAGTACAAAGGGTTCCTATAGCCGAGCCAATAGGCAGCCCGGGCCACCATGGGTCAGAGCCATGGGTATGTCGGGCTTGAAAGATGGTCCAGCCCAATTTCAGGTCTAATGGGCTGACCGAAACCTGATTTGATATATTTTTTTGGGATATTTGGAGGTCGGTCCCCCTATATGAACTTGTTTAAATTTAAGTCCATCAAGGAAACTTATTTGTCATGAAATCTGTTTTTTGTCAATTTTATCATACTATCATTTCTCTTTAGAAATGGAATAAAACTAAAAATTAAAAACTCCTAAATTTTAGGAGTTTGACTAACATTAAAATATTTTCTCTCTCATATCTATCTATATTCATATATAGGTTAAGAGTTTGACTAACATTAAAATATTTTCTCTCTCATATCTATCTATATCCATATATAGGTTAAGAGTTTGACTAACATTAAAATATTTTCTCTCTCATATCTATCTATATCCATATATAGGTTAAGAGTTTGACTAACATTAAAATATTTTCTCTCTCATATCTATCTATATCCATATATAGGTTAAGAGTTTGACTAACATTAAAATATTTTCTCTCTCATATCTATCTATATCCATATATAGGTTAAGAGTTTGACTAACATTAAAATATTTTCTCTCTCATATCTATCTATATCCATATATAGGTTAAGAGTTTGACTAACATTAAAATATTTTCTCTCTCATATCTATCTATATCCATATATAGGTTAAGAGTTTGACTAACATTAAAATATTTTCTCTCTCATATCTATCTATATCCATATATAGGTTAAGAGTTTGACTAACATTAAAATATTTTCTCTCTCATATCTATCTATATCCATATATAGGTTAAGAGTTTGACTAACATTAAAATATTTTCTCTCTCATATCTATCTATATCCATATATAGGTTAAGAGTTTGACTAACATTAAAATATTTTCTCTCTCATATCTATCTATATCCATATATAGGTTAAGAGTTTGACTAACATTAAAATATTTTCTCTCTCATATCTATCTATATCCATATATAGGTTAAGAGTTTGACTAACATTAAAATATTTTCTCTCTCATATCTATCTATATCCATATATAGGTTAAGAGTTTGACTAACATTAAAATATTTTCTCTCTCATATCTATATATATTCATATATAGGTTAAGAGTTTGACTAACATTAAAATATTTTCTCTCTCATAACTATATATATCCATATATAGGTTAAGAGTTTGACTAACATTAAAATTTTTCCTCTCTTTTATCTATCTATATGTAGGTTATAAATATGTATATATATATATAGTAACATTAAAAATAAAAAATGGTCACATTCAAATACAAAAAAAAGTTATCATTTGGATACAAAAAATAATACATTTAAACATAAAAAAAATTGAAACATTCAATATTAATATTTTTAAAAAATAACAACAGTAACATGTTCAACAAAAATATTAATATGTTCAACAAAAATAGTAACATGTTTAACAAAAATTGTAACATACTTAATAAAAGCAGTAATATGAACAGTAACATAATAAAAAAAATAGTAACATGAATTTTAATTTTACTATTCAAATTTATACTAACTTTTTTTTTATTTGAATGTTACTATTTTTTTTAATGTTATTATATATATATATATATATGGATAAGAGAGAGGAACAATTTTAATATTAGTCAAACTCTTAACCTATATATGGATATAGATAAATATGAGAGAAAAAAGATTAATTTCCTTTCAAGGAAAGGTATTTTTGAGATAAAAAAAAAAGTAGACTAAAGTCATTACATATAATTTTAAACATGGACTTAGCTCCTTATAAGTTTTCTTGCATGACTTACTCTAAATAAATACATCTAGGGGGACTCACTTTCAATTTTCACTTTTTTTTTTTAAAACCTACTTATCAATTTGTGTATTTCCTCTAAATTTACATTTGCGTTCAATTTTTACTTTTTTTTCATGATAGGCCCATCAGGACTGGGCCCGTCAGGCTGGTGGTGGGCCTGGATATTTTCCGGCAGACTCATCCGACCTCAGCGTGCCAACCGTTAGGTGGCCTTAAGTAATACCTGTTTTTCTATTTTCAACTTTCCAAGAACTTACTTCTTATTATTATGCTACAAATGGGGGGTCCAAAGAAGCAAAACTCCCCCCACCGTCACCCCCAACAAAATGAAAAGCTTAGAAGAAGGATCCATGGAAAATTTTATATTAGGACTGTTGATTAAATTTTTTTCTACTCTTGGCAGCTTAACTTTTTGGCCATCATGTATATTGTTGGCTTAGCGGCGTATAGCCAAGTGATGATTGACCAGGCTGAGTTTGGGAATGCTAACTATGTGGACAATGTTTTCGACATTACTGTTTATTTTGCTGGTCTCCTCATCTTAATTGTCCTTACCTTGGTGAGCACTACTAAAGTTCTTGCTTCTATTTCACCTTGTGAAAATAGTGATTTAATGGGGTTGTTTACTTGTTTTCCTTTGTTGATGCAGATGAAGCAAGCATCGGCATTTGAAAGGGAAAGAAGAAGGAATTGACTTGAGTCCCATCAGAACGTTTCTTAAAAAATAATCACATAGCCATTTTTACTCCCAACAAACATGTTTTTTCTTTGAGCTTCTGACTGATATTACAAGAATTCATAGCTCGATGTACATGCCTGCATAGCAAACTTGCTCTTGAATGCCAACATATATGTTTTTCCTTTTTCTTGAAAAATCTTTCAAATCTCTCTCTCTCATATATGTGGAAGCATTGATGTCCTTAGGTTGGATTCTCCCCAACGACACCCTGAAGATTTATCTTGGTATTGTATAATGCATGTAGGTTAGGCTACTTATATATGTCGGCTAGTTGTATATATTTTTTCTATTTTTTTTTTTAGGAGGGGGACTTGAACCCTTTATCTCAAGAAGATAAAGTCTTCATAAGATAAAAGAACATTAAATTGTGGAACATATTAGTGTACCTTGTTTTTAGTTAGTTTATATTGATTTTTTGTTTTAGGCCACTCTTAAACAATTAAATGGATGCAGATTAGGACATTGAAGTAGTGCAACAATTAAAGTGGTGGAACATATTGGAAAGAGATTTGAATCCTTTCTAGTTTTCAATAAACTTTAGTGTTTTTTTTTTTTTTTCTGTTATAGAGTGTTTAAATTTGTGTCGATTACTTCCTTGAGCTCAACAATTAGCTATTGTGACTTGAGTTAGATTAGAGTATGTCTCTAAAGAGACATGGATGACTAGTCCTTAGGAGATGTGGGAAACAATTAATCCAGAGACCTAAGTTACGAAAAACCAAACTCAACTATTATATTACTTCTAAGAATTGTGTTGTCATATTTACAGTAAGTCTGCTTTTCGAGAACTCATTGTTGATTGCTTATTGAATTTCTAGCACGATTAGACAACGTTAAATCATTAATTTTGAAGGATAATTTAGTGGTTGAGATTGATTTTGACAATTAAGAGGTTTCATGTTCAATCTCTTCTCACATTTCCTAAGGGTTTATTATCCTTATTCCTTTTTAGGGGTATGTTCTAAACACCTTGTAACAAAAAAAAAAATGTTATTTCATCTCAATTGAATATAACTTCGTCTCCTCCCTTACCATTGTACTCTCTGAAGGGTAAAAGATATGCACATAATCTCCTTCGGGTTACTAATTAAATTGCAATTAGCCCTTATTTTTTAGCTGAAAACACCAATGGAATGTGTAAAATAAAAATATTGACTAAAACAATGAGTCAATATTATGTTACAGAGACAAAAACAGGTAAAATAATAAAAATATGCATAATCCTCCTTGCTTCCTTAGGTGTTGGACTTTTGTCCATCATAGGATAGTAAGTTATTTCTATATCTCGAAATACAAAAAGGTTTTTTCTTCCAGAATGCAAAGGCCACATGTAACAAACTGCTAAGGAAAAAAAAAAAAGGAATACACTGGAGCAAGTCAGTCTATTTGACTACAACAATTGTAACAGGACCAATGTACATCAATTTAGGCTCATTGTCGACAACAGCAACCACGGTTGTGGTAGTAATCACCGGACTGGCAGGTGGCTGCCCGTCACAGCCTTCCATCTCAACTTCTCCGGGCTGTCCGCCCATGAAAATCACCCTTGCAATTACACCACCAGTGCTTTTGCTAGTTTGAACAGTTTGGTTCTCGGTTTGTTTTCGAATTTGGCGTTGTGGTTGCATTTAAGGACAATTTTGCTCAGAGACAAGAGTTAAAAAGTATAAAAAGAAATATGAAATATAGCTACGATAAGATATGAATACAACGATATCATAAAAAAGTGAAAAAATAGAATATAGTTATGATTAAGATATTTCTATAATAACATATTTTTTATTATTTAGTATTATTAAACAATTTAAAAATTATAATTTTTAAATAATTATATAATAATAGTAAGCAAAATTTACCTTGGCAAAGATGGAATATTGTCTCGTTATGATATATTTTTAAAATGTGAACATGACTAATTAAAGGAATAAGAACCAACGATTACAAGTTTTTGTTTTTAAAATTATGGTATAACTAACTCATTTTTTATACTCTTTTGACATATAATAGTAGATAATATTTAAAACAACACTCGAGTTTTCAAAATCAAATATAATTTTATTAATATTTTGTACCATATGAAAACTAGAAAAAAGAGTATATAAATTAAAATAAAAAATTATATATCTTACTTCATGTGTAAAAAAATTTACAAAGTATTTATATATTTTTGTAATTATCAGATAAATATAAAGCATGTTCAACACTTATCTTCAAATATCCTTAATTCATATGACAAGAGCCATCCTCTGATCAATATGAGTTGCCAAATTTACATCACAGGAGTCGGACATTTACATTTCTTTATTCCTGTGATTGCCACGGTCCTGATGCTGCACTGTCCACAAAATTTCCACATCCAACAGTGGTGGTGCAATTCTCTGAATTCAACGGTTGAGATCTTTCCCAGCTTCCAGCTAATCAATCTGAGTCGGTTTCATCCCTTTCGAATCTCTTCCACTCCCGCGAACAACCGATCTGTTCAATTTCTTTCTGTTCCCAAATTACCCCTAAGAAGTTCCATAAACTCCATAAAACCAACGCTAACCATCCCATAAATTAAACCGAGAGTGAACGGCAGGGGTAAAACAACGACTTTCTCTCTCTAGAATAACAGACTATGTATACAGCTCGCAAGATTCAGTTGGCCATTCACCCTTCTTCTCACACTCGGACGGAAAGCTTTCCTGTTGCTTCTCTCTCTTTCTCTCTGCGAACTTCAGTACTCGGAATACAATGGATGCAATGGATGACGATTGGGACATTGACACCTTAATGAACTGCACGACGATTACGGCAGTTGCTCAGATTCACCTGAGAAAGGTATTGAATTTTCTTTTTCTCTCCCAGATCCTCTGTTTGACTGCCAAGAAAATGCAGAAAAAGGGGAAATAAAGTACAGTTGGAAAGTATTAAGCTTCTGAATTTTAAATTTTAACGTTGCGGAACTTATGTTTCCTTTTTTCTTTTTCTTTTTTTGTCCTTGAAATTTTCTGTTTGGATGCCTAAAACATGTAGAAAATAAAATTGTTCAAGAAAGTAGAATAAGATAGTAATCTGTCGATTTCCCTCTTGATATTTTTTAGGTTTTACATCATCATGAGATTTCATAGTTATTGAATTAAATCCTTTGTTTTTGATTCTTCGTCATGGTTGTTTCTAGCGTATTATTTGTGTTTGATCTTCTCAAACCCGCTTGATTTGTTTGGGCGGCGCAAAAAGAGTTTCAGTCCTCCACCTTTTTTTTCCCCATGGTTCTTGGAAAGTGTTTTTCTGTTGGTTTACTATGCATGACAATGCGCCAATTTGATTCTGTTACACCATTTTTCTCATCATTTTTGGGGCTTAATTAGATTGTATTTTTGGTATGAATTATTATTTTTTGTTCTTGAATTATGATCAACGGATTTTGGGTCCAATGGTATTCTTTATTTTGTGAAAGTTTTATTTTTTTGAGGTCAATAATTTATCTCCCTCTTCTCCTTTTCCCTCCCAAAAAAAAAAGAAGTTGTTCTTGAATTATGCATTATGATTCGATTCTTGGATATAATGTTTGGGTAGCGGCAAATTGCTGATGTTATAGTTTTTGGCTAGTTTTTTTTGACAGACCTAATGTTTGATTTGCTTGAACGTTTTAATTGAACCCAAGTTTTGCAAGATAAATAATCCTTTTTTCGGGGGGCTGTTGCAACAGGTATACCTCTCATTGTTTTGCATTCTCGTGGCTGCGGCTTTTGGAGCCTACTGCTATCAACTTTGGAACATTGGGGGCTTAGTAACAAGACTTGCATTTATCGTGGCCTTAGCATGTTTCGTCTTAACAAAAACATGGACAAGGGTATTCCACAACTCGCTTATGTTGAGTAATGCTATAGTAACCAAATTTTAGGACTAAATCATGAGTTCAAATGATATGACAGCTGACTTGGGTTTCTTTATTTGATGTCATGTCATTTGGCCTCAATAAAAACTTCAAATAATATGATGTCGTGTCATTTGGGTTCTTAATTTGGTCCCCAAATTTGATCAACATAGCATTACTGCGCTTCTGTTTGTTACTTTTCGTGATAGTTTTTTGTTTTTTTTANAAGGGTATTCCACAACTCGCTTATGTTGAGTAATGCTATAGTAACCAAATTTTAGGATCAAATCAAGAGTTCAAATGATATGACAGTTGACTTGGATTTTTTTATTTGATGTCATGTCATTTGGCCCCAATAAAGACTTCAAATAATATGATGTCTTGTCATTTGGGTTCTTGATTTGGTCTCCAAATTTGATCAACATAGCATTACTGCACTTCTGTTTGTTACTTTTCGTGATAGTTTTTTGTTTTTTTTATATACAACTATCTAATCTTGCTAGCTTGAATTTACTACATCTCCAAATAAGCAGTGGAAAAGGGTGGCTGTCTTGCTTGTTGCTGCTTTTTGTGGAGGGGCTTTGGTTGGTCCGTTGATTAGCTTGATAGTGATGACTGATACGGGGTAAACCTACTACATCCTAAGTGCTTTTCTTTTTTATTGATTCAATTTCTGATTTGAGTTTTTATTTGGAACTTTCTTGCAGTATAATACTTCTGATCCATTGTTACTATTATGCTTCTTGGGACTAAGATTGTTGAATGACACATTTAATATCCTATTTTACAAACTTGGAATGTTTAAGATTTTGAATTTCCTTGATAATTTTCTCAATTTGGAGGAAATTTAGTTAGTATAAAGGTGGAACAAATTCGAGCACTAGTTTAATTAATTGATGTTTTGATTTGTTTGCACCATTTTGTTCATTGTTTGTTTGATCTGGCTAATTGCCTTTTCCTTTTTCGGAAAATTGATTTTGGCCATTCTCTCATTGAAAGGCCTTGACAAAGTGGTTTATATATCTTCTAAAATGAAAAAAGGGGTAAATGTATGACCTGTTTTTGGTGTATGTCACCCTATGTTTAGATATTTCTCCAATGTGATTTTTGATTTTGTCGGACATGATTTATGAAATTTGAAGCTATAAATTTTGTATTGGATCTAAAAGTTCTTCCTCTAGTGCAGTGTTATTGTCAGCACTATTGGGGCGATTGCCGTGGCGTATAGTTGTTTCTCAATAGCAGTCATGTTGACGCTACGTAGGTGTTACATCTACTTGGGTAGCCTGATTTTCTCTAGCGTCTTAATCCGGATTTGGTTGCACTTTGCTTCCATCGTCTTTGGTGGCTATACAGCTTTTTGGGAGATTAAGGTACACCAATTAACATAAGCTAGAATTAACTGAGCTGAAGTGATGCTGGCTAAACCTCCAATTCAGTTCCTTTTTCAGTAGTTAACACTTTCTGTTTAGTACAAATTGTACTAGTATTCTTGTTCAAAAAAAAAAACTACACTAGTATTAATGCCAAGGGTGGGCAGCCCAGGCCACCATGTGTCAGAGCAATGAGTAAGGTCTGGGCTTGAAAGATAGTCCAGCCCAATTTAAGGTCCAATAGGCTGGCCGAAGCCTGATTTGATTTTTTTTTTCGAAACCCTAAACTTTATGAATTTGTGTATTCCCTCGAAATTTATATTTGCGTTTTATTTATTTTCAAGAAAGGCCCATCCGGATTGGGCCCGTCAAGCTGGTGGTGGGCCTGAGTATTTTCGAAACAGTTCATAGTGAGTTCAGTCTATAACGAGGGAATGTTTCCGCACTCGTCTGAACTCAGCATGCCTACTGTTAGGCCTTAAGTAATACCTGTTTTTCTATTTTCTACTTTCCAAGAACATACTGATTATGCTACAAATGGGGGGTCCAAAGAAGCAAAACTTCCCCCACCCTCACCCCCAACAAAATGAAAAGCTTAGAAGAAGGATCCAAGAAAAATTTTATATTAGCACAGTTGATTAAATTTTTTTTCTACTCTTGGCAGCTTTACCTTTTGGCCATCATTTATATTGTTGGCGTAGTGGTGTACAGCCAGGTGATGATTGAGCAAGCTGATCAATTTCGGGATATTGACTATGTGGATCATGTTCTTGACATTAGTGTTTATTTTGCTGGTATCCTCATCGTAATTGTCCTTATGTTGGTGAGCACTACTAAAGTTCTTGCTTCTATTTCACCTTGTGAAAATAGTGACTTAATGGGGTTGTTTACTTGTTTTCCTTTGTTGATGCAGCTGAGGAAAGCATCGAAATATGGAAAGGGAAAGAAGAAGAAGTTGAATTGAATCCCATCACTACGTTTCCAGAAAAATAATCACTATAGCCATTTTTACTTCTAACAAACAATTTTTTTTATCAGCTTTTGACTCATATACTAAAGCTCGGGAGTAGTACCCCCCCTTTACAAGAATTCATATCTTGTTACCCAATTGTGGCATGATGTACATGCTTGCATAGCAATCTTGCTCTTGAATGCCAACATGTTTTCCCTTTTTCTTGAAAATTTTTACAAATCTCTCTCTCTCTCTCACAGACACACACACACACACATGTGGAAGCATGGATATCCTAGGCTAGAGATTCTACTCAACGACACCCTAGAGATTTATCTTGGTAATTGTATATTTGTATTGGTACATGTAGGTTAGGCTTTGTATATGTCAGCTAGTTGTATATGCCCAAGAAGCTCCATCAGAAGTTCTAATAAACCCAAACACTTCTTAGTTAGGAACAAAAACAGAGCATTAAGGTGAAGAACATATTGGCTTGGCGTACCTTGCTTAAGCTACCGTAAGACCATTTAATCAGTTTATATTAGTTTCTAGTTTTCTGCCACTTTTAAACGGATACAGATTAAAACATTTAAGTCATGCAACAATTAAAATTGTGAAAAAGATTGGAAAGAGATTTGAATCTTTCCTAACTTCCTTTACCTGCCATTTCCCAATTTTTCATCTTCGTATTGCTGGAATATTCTTTTGGGCTCTAAACTACTTGAAGGCCCTGCCCAACATTAGAAGAAGGATTCAGCGATTAGTGCTTATTTATTTAAATTGTCTAAAATCTTTATTTAATTTTGTTTTAAAAAAAAAAAAAAAACTTTTTAGTGCAGTGTTCTATTTACTTCAAAGGTTGGTCTACTTTTCCTAATCTTTTTCCTTCTGGTCAACAACGATAAGTCCTTTTCTCTCTTATCATTGTACTTTATCAATTGTTATATTTTTTGTTTAACCGTCATTACAATCTAAAAAATAAATTGAGTTACATGGGAGAGTATAACATAAGTATTTTACATNCTTCTCTCTTATCATTGTACTTTATCAATTGTTATATTTTTTGTTTAACCGTCATTACAATCTAAAAAATAAATTGAGTTACATGAGAGAGTATAACATAAGTATTATACATTTTAACGAAGTTCATTTTCATGTAAGTTAATCACACTTACAACTATTACAAGCTTTAAGGTGATGATGAAATTCAAACACAAAATTTTCAATGCGGATATGACATAAATATTATAGGATAAATTATATTCACACTTCTTGATATTTGACTTTATTATATGGACACCCCTCACATTTTAAATATTATACTAACACCGCTTGACATTTGAACACGTGTGATAGTTGCACCCCTTTTGTCTAACAGACATTAGCAATTTCTTTAAAAAAACTTTTTAATCCTTGTATATCATTGAGATTAACTAATGCCCATATCCAATATATTCAACTCACCCTTCTATTTGATTAAGTCAAAATAAATAAACTAAAAAAATTCAAACTCCAAACCACTCAAAAACCCCAGCCCCAGCCCTAAATCTAATCATCTTTTTCCTCCATCCCCTTAATTACCCCCACACACAATCAAAACCAACCTTAGCCATCTGTTTCCCTCTCTCTTACAGCATGCAAACCATCCCATTACACCCAACCCACCAACCCTACCAACTCCTCTATGTCGTTGCTCCGCCGTCACCCCTCAGCCCATTGCACCCTCCCTCCACTTGAGGTCGGTGACCTGGCTAATAGATGGTAAAAAGGGTGTGGGTAATGGAGGTTTGGTGGTAGAAAGTGGTGGCTGAAACTTAGATTTGAAATTTTAAACTTAGGTTTGGTTGTTATTTCAAATTAAATTAACGTCATTAGTTTAAGAGATAAGATTGAGTTTGGTGATAACATTATAAGGTTTAATTTTAATTAGGTGTTAAATTTGTTTAAGTGTTAAGTTTAATTTGAATTAAGTGTTAAATTCGTTTAATTAAGGTCTGATTTGTAATTTAGTTCACTTGAGTTTTTTTTTTTTTTCACCTCAAAATGGAGGGTATGATTGTCATTTTCTTACTTTTGTTAACGACGTCCATTATTTGACGGAATTTGAAGTCTCAATGTAATTTTTGAAATGTGAGGAAGTGTTCATATAATAAAATTAAATGTCAGAGATATCAATATAATTTACCCAATATTATATTATTCCTCCCGTGGTGGAGGCATGAATCAGTTATCTTTACTTGGACTTTGAAAGTTGTTTGGTATAGATGCCCATCCCATCCTCTTTATGGTTGAATATGTATGTTACCTGATAAAGGGAACAACTTTTCTGTTGCTTCGTGTTGAAACAACCTTCGGTGCTCCTTTCGCTCTTCCCTTTATTATAACCACCAAACCTACTTTCTGGTTAAAGATCTCCTTAACAAGGAAATAGTATAGAGTGTGACCCTAGTAACCCTTATCTATTAGGGTAATCCTTCAAGAGCAATAGTGTCGGATCTTGTCCACTAAACCCTTAAAAGCAATTCAATAGTTTATTGCCTATGAATTGAATCTAACACATAATTAGACATGTCAATCATATTCGGTGAAGTGAATTTATATCAAAAAATTCCATTTATATCAGATTTATATTGTATATAAACTGTGTATAACTGGTACATAAACAAGTCTTGTCGTGTCGGATCACTTATTTATTAAATAGATGGCTTAACAAAGATCTAAACTCTTTAATTTTGTATCGTATTCATGTCATACTAATGGGTTGTGTCATATTCTAACATCGCTACACATAACCCTAACAGATACCTCAAGTTAGACACTTAATGAAACACTAAGCGCCATTAGACACATGTAAATAATGGTGACCTCTTGCCATGTATTAATTCTTACCTCTTGGGATGTTACAATTGTAACCTCTTAACTTTAAATTTTTTCACTTAGTATGAAAATAAAGATTAGATGTCTATTAATGGAGGTCCTAGAAAAGAAGAATTCCATGAAAAATCAAAGAGAATATTCAAAAAACCAATGCTGTGAAGGTTTTGAAAAACTTATGGTATGTCAATCATGTTATATATCTATATAATAAAGTAGCTTACAATTCAAATCTCAAAAGATAAACAAAATGACTTTTTCTACTCGCGGTTGAGATCTCTTTAAATTTTACTTTAAAGTTAATCTAACCGCTAATATTAACACTCTAAATATAATAGGAAAAATAGACCACTAAAGATGTGTTTTTGAGTGACTTTTTAAAAATACTTTTAAAAATTATTTATCATAAATATTTTTAAAAAAATAGTGTTTGAAACCGTTCCACCACTACCTCTACCACCACCGCCATCGCCGCCACCCTTACCACCACCATCGCCGCCACCCCCTATCACCACCACCACCGTCGTCGCCGCCACCATCACCACCAGCGATGCCACTGCCGCTACCACCACCCTACCCCACAACAGTTGTCGCCGTCACCACTACCATCGCTGTCGTTGTTACTGCCACCGTCATCGCCACCACTATTGCTGCCATCATCACTACCATTATCGTCGTCGTCACTGCCACCACCACCATTATTATGGTCATTGCCACCTACCACAACCATCACCGTCAACTATCACCATCACTGTCGTTCACCACCTCTCATCCCCACTATAAATTGATGTTTAAATTATTTTATCTTTTCTCTATATTTGTGGTTTGATTTTAGATATAAATACAAATATATTTATTGTTTATCATTTTTTATTATTTTGTGTCTTTAGGCACAGACAATAACTAGTATATATATATGACACATAAAAATCTTCATGTTCGATGGGTACATCATGGTAGGCACATCTAAGTTTGTTCCACTTTAATTTGTTGTATGGTTGCACCAAAAAGTATAAAATATTTGTTTTATACTATATAGAAAATAAATATTACATATATCACTATATCCTATAGCTCATTGGAGATGGGTTAAAAAATGACCAGGTGTGAAGCCCTACAGAAATTTTGATGCCACTAAGATGTCCAAATCCAAGAAAAAACTATATTAAAAGTTCGAATTTTTGCAACGAGCTTCAATATTACTATTTCGTACCCAATACATTAATTTATTATTTTAGAGCTCTAATCCCTAAACATATATTTCTTTTTTTGGTGTTTTTCCCTTTTGCTCTTAAAATATAGATCAAAGGTTGATACTTTTTAGCAAAAGATTTTGTGTATGATTTATCATTTTGTGGGTGTTTTTTTCCCTAGAATTGTATTTATTTTTTTTATCATTTTTTTTGGTACAAAAAAAATTACTATTTTTGTGAATAATTTATCACATTTGTGAGTATTTTTACTACTGTTATGATTACCATTTTTATCACTTTTTGGTGTTACAATTATAATAAAAATACCCACAATAATTAAAAAATACTCATAAATATGATAAATAAAAGTATAGTACCAATTTTTTTTCCCTGGAACATAGACAACTCCAACAAGTATTACTTGTAGACAAAGCGGTGGTTAAATCAGTTTGGCTACACATACATTATGCTAACTATTAGGATGAGATATGATTGTCTCAGTATCTAATTCTTGGGGAACAATAAAGTTTGTAGGTTTGGTATCACACTGAAAGTTATTATTAAAAATAATTAAAATTATGACTTAATTTAGATCAATTATTTATTCTTTTTATAAATTGAGAGATGACTATTAGAATAAAGAATCAATTATTACAACTTTCAACTTTCGAATATTACATTTTATAGCAAGTTTAAAAGCATTCATATAGTGATGTAGAATAGTTCAAAATAGGGCACAAAAAAACTTTTGAATCAAGGGGACAAAAGTAATCAAGCCTTGAATTTGCCAAGTGTCGATCTCTTCTCCTCTTTGTTGCTTAATTTTTTGAAAATTTAATTTTTCCAATAAGGCTAAACTAAATTGATTAATTTGAGTTAAAGTTAAAACTTCAAAAAAAAATCAAAATTGATATTAAAATATCAAATCTCAATCTTAGCATTTTA